CGCGGCGGCGGGCGTCATGTGGCACATGCCCCAGTGGTACCCCATGGCCCCGATGGCCGCCTTTGCCAACGCGCCCCTCCAGTATGCGAGCCAGCAGCACGCCAGCCAGGCCCCGCCCTCCCTCGAGCAGCAGGCGCTCGCGGCCGGCGTGGTGCCGCTGCTGCCGATGATACCGGGCATGTCAGCGCCGTTCCCGGCCATGCTCGCCCCCCAGCTCAGCGCCGGCGCAAGCCCGGAGCAGCAGGCCGCCGCGGCGGCGATGGCGGCGGCGGCAGCAGCAATGTATGCGACGCCGATGGCGGGGCTAGCGCTCATGCCGCCGGCGATGCTGCCACCAGCGCTGCTGCAGCCAGGAGCGGTGGGGGCCGCGCACGGCGGCGGCAGCAGCGGGGCCGCGGGCGGCGGGGGCGGCGGGGCCGGCGGCATGAGCCACCAGGAGCAGGTGGCGGTGACGGCGGCGACGGCGGCGGCGAACGCGGCGGCTGCGGCGGCGGCGATGATGGCGGGGTCGGCGTCACCCGAGGCGGTGGCGGGCGCGATGGAGGTGACGCAGCAAGTGGGTCGTGCTTTGCGGTCTCTAACATGCGCGTGGGCCCGTGTTCCCAGGGACTGTGGCAGCGTTGATTTGACGGCGCTTATTTCTCTTGTGGATCAGCCTTACACCAAACGACGACGCCGTGGTGCTTGCCCCTGCGCTCACCCGTCCCCTCGCCTTCCCGTCCCTGCTGTCCCTGATTCCCCTTCGCAGCTGCTGCAGCGCCAGCTGGAATACGTGCAGTCGCAAATGGATCGCATCCGCAGTAGCCAGGCGACCGCCGCGGCCGCAGCCGCGGCCGCCGCGGCAGGCGCGAGCGGCGGCACGGGGGAGGCCGCGGCCGCGGCTCCGGCGCCTGCGCCAGCCGCCGCGGCTTCTGGGAGCGCTGAGGGGACGGCCCCGGCGCCTGCGCCAGCCGCCGCGGCTTCTGGGAGCGCTGAGGGGACGGCCGCGCGCGAGGTGGCTGCCGCGCAAGAGCCGCAGCGAGGGCAGGAGCAGCAGCAGCAGCAGCAGCAGGAGCTGCAGGCTCAGCCGCCCCAAGGGGAACCTGAGCCGCAGCTGCTGGACGGCGGGGCCCCAGATAGTGACACGCAGGCCGCGGAGCTGAGGCGGCGGCGGCTGGCGCGCTTCGGGTCTGGCGGCGACCCCACAGCAAACCTGTGATGCTGCCGGCGCACGCGCTGGCGCGCGCGTGGCCGCACCGCAACGTGCAGGCCAAGTTGTTCAAGGACTCTCCCACCTGCCGCCGCAAGAGATCTGGCTCTGCTGCGTTGAGTCGCCGTTTGGATGCTGCCAATACTGGCGGAAGGCTTGTGTTACCCACGGCTTTGCGGGTACGGTAGTAGCTCGGGTGGCCCCAACAGAAGTGTCGCCAGCAGGCGCGCCAGCAGACGCGCTCCGCTCTACCGGTAGCTCCCATCAAAACACCGAAATTCAGCACGAAGTCCTTGCGGAATTGCGTGTGAAATCATGCGCCATCACATATGTAGTGTAATATAATCAGGGCTCGACCAAACAAGCGCCGCGCCCAAACCAGTTGCGAGGATGGGGAATGCGGCCTCCGCCTCTGCCACGGGGCCTGAGGCCAGCGAAGATAACAGCAAGCCAAAATCTTGGGCCGTGCAGGTGTGCGAGTTTTTCCGCGATCATGGGCTGATTGAATGGGTCAAACCGCTGCTCTGCTGTCAATGGCATGCCAGGCTGGCCACGATCGAGCGACACAGCACCATATTCCGAAGTCACATCGGATTACAGCGGTTGCCTCTCAGCCAGGCTAAAAATGCAAGCGCGTTTCGGTGGCGCGGCGCGGCGCGCAATAAAGTCTGCGCGTCGCTGCCGGCGTCTCTCCGTCCCTTCCCGCGTCGCCACTGACTCGAGCATGCCAACGACTGCGTATACGTGCGCGGGCAGGACAACACGATCTCGTCGCACACGCACCCCTGGAGCTTCATCGTGCGCGAACACGTGCAGTGCCTCTGCGAAGGAGGCCGCAAGTGCGCACGCGAGGACCCCTCCTGCCAGCGCCGCGGCGGCGCGTGCAGCGCCGGTGGCGGCGGCGGCGGCGACGGCGCGGCGCCGCAGCAGCCGCCGCCGCCGGTCGAGGGGCTGCACTGCAACTGGGTCGGCGGCAGCGTGCTCGCGATGGCAAGGCCGTGGCAGGACAACGTGGAGAAGTTCGATGTCGTGGCGCAGTTTAAGAACCACAACATCGGACTCATCATCAACCTGCAGGAGGTGAGACTCTTGGAGGATTAAAAGGCATGCGCACGGGGCCCCGGTCGCGAGACGACAGGCGCAGGCTGCGCTGTCGACTGCGGGGCAGCCGCCCAGCAGGGTGGCTCCTGGGTGGCTGGCGCTGGCGGGGTCTTTCGACGCAATTGAACGGTGGCCGCCGCAGGGCGTACGCGGCGCAGCGGTCGGCCGGAAACGCGTTTTGCTGCGCCGCGCGGCACCTCGCAGGCGGGCCGCCCGCTGATTGGAGCTTGGCAGCTGCACAGCGCATCCGGCGTCACCGCCGCGCTGCATGCAGCGCGCTCAGGCCGAGCGCGGCCGGCGCCTCTCCCCCACTCTCAAACTTGAGTGTCGATTAGAGAGTTGATAAACTATCAACCCACCCTCCGCCTCGCAGGTGGGAGAGCATGCAGAGTGCGGCCCAGGCAACCTGCCATGCTGCGGGTTCACCTACAATCCAGAACTCTTTATGGTGGCGCGCATCGGATTCGTCAACCTGAGCTGGAGGGACATGGGGGTCCCGACGCTGGACAAGATGATGGACATCGTGCAGGCGCGCGATCTGATGATGCGATGCGGTTTGACCTGATTTGACCTGGTTTGACCTGGGTTGACCTGGGCGCGGGTGGAGTCGCCGAGGGACGGCAGGGTGCTTGAGTTGTCAGGAAATAAAGACGGGAGTGTGCACGTCAGGGGCGCGTGAACACTGGCACCTGCGCACAAGGCGCGCCTGAGTGTGTTTGTTGGCTGCCGGAAATGCAACCAAAACGCAACCCCGCCCCGGGGCCGCCGCCGCCGCCCGCGCCGCTCCCAGGTTATGCAGCACTGCACCGCCGTGGAGGGCCGCCGCGTCGCGATCCACTGCCACGCCGGCCTCGGCCGCACCGGCCTCGCGGCGGCGTGCTTCCTCGTCTTCACCCGGGAGGCCCCCTCCGCCGCCGCCGCCGTCACCGCGGTCCGCGCCGCGCGGCCCGGCGCGCTGCAGACGCCGGCGCAGGTGCTGTTTGTGTCGATCTTTGAGCAGTACCTGTCGCACCTCCGCTGCGCGTTCAGGGCGGCCGACCCGTCGAAGCTGTTTTTGGGGCGCGAGTCGTTCTTCGTCGCGCGCACCAGCCAGGCGCTGCGGCGCACGCAGTCATCCCGCGGCAGCAGCGGCGGCGGCGGCGGCGGCGGCGGCAGCTTCGGGCGGGGGTCGGATGCGGCGGCGGCGGCGGAGGCGGCGCTGCTCGCGGCGGCGGACCCAGTCAGCGCCGCCGCGGCGCTCGGGCCCGTCGCCATCAGCCCTGTCGCGCCCGCCGACGCCGGGGCCTCCTCAGACCCCGGCGGCCCCGCGCCGCCGCAGCAGCAGCAGCAGCAGCAGCAGCACCCGGCGCCCGGCTTCGTCATGCACGCGCGCCGCCTCAGCGGGGGCGGCGGCAGCATGAAGCTGCTGTGCAATCCGTTGGATGCGATCAAGGAAGACGACCGGCCGATGCACATCATAACCACCGAAATGGCGGTCACAGAGGTCTACGGGGACGGGCTGACCATCATCCGCGCTGCGCCCGGCTGCAGGGACGCGGCGGAGCGGCCGCTCAAGCTGGAGCAGGTGGGGGCGTGTGGGGGCGTACGTGAGGGGGAGGGGGCTGAGGGAGATGTGGCGGATCGACGAGCGCGATGTCACCTCGGATCGGGCATGGGGCCGGCAGGGCGCCGGGTTTCGCTGGCCAGCGCTTCGCCCTGCGGCGGCCGCCGAGGCTGTGAAGAGTCTTGTGAGGGCGCAGCCCGTGCGCGTCTCGCAAATATATTATATGAGCAACGCTGCAGCAGAACGCCTGGACGCGCCGAAACGCGCGACGCAGGCCCTGGCCGCTCCCGGCGAGAAGGAGCTTGGACTGGACGCACGGCTGCCCTGGACCGAGAAGTTCCAGGTGACAACTTCTCGGCAGCAATGCCCTGCGCGGCTCAGAGGACGGGCGGCCACGCGCCACTCGTCAGCCCGCAGACGCACCTGCCTGGGGTGTCGGTGTCAGTATCAGCGGGGGAGCGCTGCTCTGCGTGTCCGCATGCATCCTGTTGCGCAGTCTGTGCCTTCTGTCACCGTCTGCCGGCTTTCGCCCTGCCAGCTCTCCTTGCGTGCATCTGCTTCAAGCACTGAGCAGCCCACTTGCACACGCTTTGTGCTGAATAACCTAGATGTTGTCACAATTGCCACTCAAACATCTATCCCGAAGATCCGCCCCGAGAACTTCACGGCGGAGGGCTTCGTGCCGGAGCCGCCGGGAAGCTACTCCGAGGCGCTCAAGCGCCAGCAGCGCCTCCTGCACGGCGTCGCGCGCCGCCAGAGCAGCCGGCTGCACCTGCTGGTCAAGGCGGCCGTCCAGGCGCTCGCCGCGGCGGCGGGGCCATACGAGGCGGCCGCGGCCGCGGAGCGGGCGGCCCTGGGGAAGGGGGCCGACGAGAGCGCCGCCGCGGCGGGCGCCGAGGGCGCGGGCGCCGGCCAGAGGGGCGCGCTGGGGGTTGTGCGGATGCTGCAGCGG